CTTCCCGTCTTTCTCCTCCCAAATCATACCTTTGTTGTTGCTTGTTGGATAGCTTCTGACCTAAAAAAATCAACACAGCCTGCTTTACAAAATGCTTGTTTCATTCATTAATGAGGTTCACTGTTGCTGGGAGAAGACAATCATTACTGGTGGGACAGGCTCTGCAGTTTATTCCTACAAAAGCTTTGTTCAGACGGGAAGGACAGATCAAGGAGAATTTTCTCATCTGAGATCTATGAAGAGCAGTAACTTCTCACAGCATCACGCTCAGCGATACCACACTTTCTATCCCTAATGGAATAGATTCTTCCTGCCTAATCTTCTGAGAATGTATCTGTTTGAATAGGCTTAAGGGAGCAAACTGTAAGTTTGCCAACAGACAGACAAGTCAACAGCCAGCTACTATGCACAGCAGAATCAGGAACTCAAGTGGTATGAAAGGAAAGAGGCCCGTTTCTTAATATAAAGCCCTAACAGCTGGCAGAAACTATCCTTTTCTCCTTGTTTTCTCAAATCTTTTCAGTTGCTGTGAATGTAACAAACATCCTGTGAAATGTGGCTGTTTGATATTGATCCAAGTAAGGACGATAAGCCCCAAAGCAAGCAAGGAAAAAACTTAATGCAATTAAAAGGAACATACGGACTTAGGATCCTGGGGAGACAGGAAGAAAAACTGACAGGAGCAAACCTCATCACTACTTACTTGTGCAGTGACCTCACCGGCTGCTCCAAAAGTATAACAGTAAAACACTGAGAATTGGAGGGCCTGAGGGCATGGGACTTGGGTGGAAGCCCTAATAAGTGCAAATGAAGAGAGACTTGGGTGGATACTGAGCATGCTTGAGGTAGATAGAGCTGCAGTCAGAGGGATGAGGAGAGTAGCAAGTTCATTCAGATGCGAGGAAAAGGTATATTTTCCTTGGCAACATGTAAAGGCAAAGAGTCTATGCTCCTGGGTTGAAGCTCCAAGAGAAGTTTCTTCTTCATATCAGAAGATAAGGATGGGAGTCTCAGACTATTGGAAGTCATTTACCTGCCTCTGGTACTCACCAAAACTCAAGCAGCTTTGTTGGTTTTGAGGGCAGGACAGGCTTTCTTTTTCTTCCAAACCTTCAAATTCCTACCATGAACTCACCCTATCCACTACTGGCATAGATTCAGGAGCTGCACTGAGCCTTTGTGATGGGCTCGCAAGCCCCTCCTGACACCCTGGAGGCCCCCCCAGCGCAGCCCCCTCCAGCCCTCCCCACAGGACCCTTGCTTTTCACAGACCTTCAGGAACTTCTTCCACCTGGTCTCCATGGAGCTGTCCTACTTGTTCTCATTCATCCCCAGAAACCACTGCCCTGAAGTAGCTCTTGCATTTCTCCCCATGAGCCCCCATAACCACAACATAGACCATTACTTTAAAAGTAGTTTACATTTGAATAGGAATATTGTACATTAAATTACTATATAAATATATATACACATACATATACAGATATTTGTGTCTCTAAATTTTGTACAAACTGCAACAATCTTTAGACCACAAAAAGGACTGATTAACACTACTGGTTTCCATCCAAGAGGCTGCCAGCCTTCCACAAGAGCTATGGATGTGTGCCTTCTCGTGTCTTCTCTACATTTTAGCAAAAAGTTATTTTTGCATGCACATACATAAACACAGCCCTTCTTGTAAAGCCAACCAATCACTGTTATGGGTAACCAACAATGATGATAAATTGGAGAATAATTTGTTCATTTACAGTACTGTTGAAGCTCAGGATTTCTAGGTTTGCAAAACAAATGCTTGAACATAACAACCACAAGAAAACAAAGTAAACACCAGAAAAACATCTACAATTCCCACACAAAGTAATAACCAACCACTTTGCACCAAGCCACATAGCTTTCTCTGAAAAATCAGCCTTGAATATTCTATTGAAACAAATTTAACTGCACTGCAAGTGGAATCGTTTACTTGTGATTTTTTTCATATACGTAGTAGAATCTTTTCTGTAAAATTTAGGTGTACATTAGTTAACAAAGGTGTTAAGCTGAATATAGAGACTGGATATAGGTGACAAGTTTGTGCTCCTCCACTCACAAAACAAATGTAAACATAATCTTTAAAGAGAAAAGGTTATCCTAAATTATCAAACAAAACAGTAATAAACTGGAATACGTATTTGGAAGACAAAGAACTGAAATTTTGTGAAAATGAAAGAAACTGAAAAGAAAAAAGTGAGTATTGGTTGAAGAAGCATTTCAAGTAAAATTTTTCGATGAAGAGAATTGCAACTCTCATCCCCAACTTTTAAAAACAACTAATTCTTTACTGTTTCTTTAAATTTCTCCCATCTTTTTGTTCTATTGTTTTCAGGCTACTGTGCAAACCAGAGTAGATTATAAAATTCATTTCACAGCCTGCAATTCAAGATGGAGTAAAAGCGTATTGCCTCCAGCTGTGAGCATTAAACCAAAACCAGAAGTACCGTCAGAAATACTGTTCAGCACAGGATGAGACTGTAGCTCATGGTGGGAAGAACAGTGACTGTTAAAGAACAGTTCTGTTAATGAGGGAACTAAACAAGAACTGACAGGAATGTAACTTGTCTTTCCTTAAGCTTTTACTCCAACCACAAATGTATTGTCTGAAGAGAACTGAAAATGAAATAACCTCTTGTTGGTACTCTTTAGCCATAATTTATTCTTTTGAGAATAAGTATTCTCAAAAATGAGGAACAATTCTCCAAAAAGGCATAATATTGAGAAAGGTGATACACTTTGGAATGCATTAGTTTAAACTCAAAGAAAACCCAAAGGTGATGGAATCACTGAATATAGCAGCGTGGAAGGAGGTACCCATTCTGGTATATAGTTACTGAGTTGGAAAAGAAAAGGCGACGGCTGCCTGTGTGCTCCAGAACTATGATTGCAGCAGAGAATATCCATTTTGGACACATTTTCACAATTAACAACAACAACAACAACAACACAAACACAACACAAAAGGATGAAGCTTGTGGGATTTTACCTACCCAGAAATGAGTAAAGCATACCACAAAACAAGTCAGTGTACAAACTAAATATGAGAGACTCCAAAGAACCGGAGATTCTCTATGCATTTACATGATAAAATACTGACTCTTATTAAATAAGAGCATGATCCTGTCGGAAAATTCTATTTTAAGCCATAAACATTAGCTTTAAATAAACAGCATTAACAATGTTAGCTAACCTCACAGAAGTTAATATATGTTAATGTAAGACTAAGATATAGGACCTACCTAACAGATGTTGCATATAAAGGCATTAGGAACCCAAGTTCAATGTGAGACTTTTGAAAGTTTTAGCTTTAAATACTCAAAAGAAAATTAAAAATTAATTTTAAATGGCCACTATTTAGATGATGTTTGTGAATGCCTTGAATGTATGTTAACCAATTTAACAATTTAAAAATGTTAATCTTCATGTTTGTATAATATTCTTAACACTTTCTCCTCTGCATAAATGAACCAATCCTTGTTCTGGTCTTGCTTTTGGGGATTTTTTGGTTTGTTTTTTTTTGTTCGGTTTTTTTTTTTGTTTTAAGTCTGAAAAAGAGAAAGTCTTCAGATTGCATTCTTGTACAGCATGCAGAAAAAAAAATATCTAATTTTATGATAAAGCTCTCAACCACTTAGTAGGAACTAATAACAGAACTGCTGATATTGCTGTATACAAAATACTCTGAATGTTGCTCTAAGAATTCAACATCTGAAGCAAACAATGTCATCGTTTAACTTCACATCTGTGGGCATCAGTTTCATTTAATTTACTGCTTTAAATGGATTCTAAGTTATTTGCAGGTGTATTTTTTTTTCTTAAAGAAACATGTCTGCCATAGATTACACAACTCAGTGCTTGTCACTTAATATGGCTTTGGCTTAAATATTTCTTTATCATATTCAGGTTTTTTAAGATTCTTGGTAATTATTTGAAGTAATACAGACCACTTTAGTCTTAGAAGCTGCAAACATTGAAAAAAGATTAGTTTGTTTTCTGAATGCAGTAGTGAGCACAGACTTGCACATATTGCTTGGATTTACATTACCTACTTTGTTTTCTTGGGCCTCTCTTTGTTAGTAATGTATCCATAAGCCCTACATCATGAACAGTAGCAGGCTAAATCATATTTATCTGAGCTCATAGCATAAGTGCATAAAGCAAAGGTAGATAAGCTGAAATGGCAGCGTCAATCATTTTCCATGAGATAAGACTCCTGCATTTAGTTGTTAAGACCAACTGCTAATACAGTACCACTGTAAAGGCTGCACACAGCAATAAACTTCATTATAAAGCCAGAATGTAAGTTCACAGATGTCAAAGTTGAAAACATTCACCATTATAACTCACACTTTTCCTCATCATACAACCTTATGTTCACCTGGCAACCTCACCTTTCTCCTGTCCTTGATCTTCACACCATTAACATTATGATCAGGTCAAAGTTGCATTTTCTTAAGCATCTGTGTCCTTCATCACTTTGAAATTCAGCATCTTGGACCTTCATTTTGTCATAAAATCATGGCTGTATTGATACACTTTGCTGTTGGATTCTGTGGTCCTGAAGCTGGCAGATTCTATGGTCTCTGTAGTGCTGTAACAGTCGAGGGTCTCAAGAAAAGCAAACCCAGCATTGTGATCCACATTCTAAAGCTAAGGAATTAAAATTGTGGAAGACCTTCAGAAAAGTTGACCAAAACGGGCCATTTGGATAGCATCCAAATTACTCAAAACTTGAAAGAGAAGAGAGAGGTGGTGTTCCACAGGGCAACTGAATGACCTGGAACTGGCAGTGAGCCACATCAGTCACAAATAAAAACAGCTGTCTGTCAGAACTAGTGTAAAATATGCCTAGTCTGAACATCACAATACGATTTAAAAAGAACAGCATTACTTTGAGAGCACTCGCCTTTCCTTCCAAGACATTTAGAGTCCTCCGATTTGAAAAAATCCTTCCAGGCTTCACAGATTTAAATAGGTGAGGAACTACGGCAGTCTCTGATTTTACCTGGCTCCACAGACAATGTTTTTTCTCTTGGCTCTTGTTTAACTTGGCTCACACAGATAACACCCTCTGTATTTTCTTCAGCTTAAAAACAAAATGAAAATCAACCATTGAAGTTCAAACTCCACTGACAACGTTTCAGCCCCAATAACTGTATGCATTTAAAAGAAAAATATTTCAGGAACTCAAGCTAATATGTAAGGCATTTGTGAAGTTAACTGCTGTTTAGCATGACAGCCAGTGATGTCACCTACTGTGCTATAAGACATTGCAAGTTGACATGAATTTACCGCAGTCAGGGCCCCCTCGAGTAAGAATATTTAAAACATTTTATAAAAAAAAAAAATAATGTTTGGAGATACAAAATTACTCTCACATAAACTGTCTTTCCTCTTTCCCATGGAAAAATAAAGCTACCATCTTATTTGTTGGTTTGCTGTTGTTTTTTTTTTTTTCTTTTCCAGGGGAAAGGTGGAATGGAGGTGCTGTTGCTGAAAAAATTAACTCTAAAGCATGTTGATTTAAAGAATGACTTACACTTTAGGCATGATTGGCCCCTTCTCAATGACTGCACATATATTTCCGGCAGGAAATAGCTTATTCTTAAGTTAGCACTTGGACAAGAGAAAATCCAGAACATACAGGATAATTTTAACCATGCACACATGTGCACAACTGTATGCACACACACACAGGGAAAAAAAATTAAATCTTGAAATACACACTGACTGAATTGCTAAGTTCAAGTATATGGTGTTTCCTCCAAATAAGCTCTGTAACATTATACCCTCTTCAGTCTAGATTGTTTTTTGTTCTCCTGCTCTCCAGACAAATAACTTGTCTCTGGAAAAAAACCCAAACAGTATCTGTTCATTTTATAGGCATCTCCTCCACATAACTTAGGAATGGCACCAATATTCTCACAATTTCCAAATTCAGGCTGGTGGTGATAGACTGAGGCCTTGAGCAGAAAAGAAAAGGAAATCCCAAAGGAACTGTCAGTTTAGTCCTTGCAGTTATATAACTTTATATTTGGCTACATTTCTTCTTGTGTAAAATAGTATTTATTCAAAAATTCACTTACAACACTCATCACTTGCAAAACTTTTTGAGAGGTATCAACATCTAGCTTGAAAAAATGGGTTAAACAACTGAATGGAGGAGGCGCATTTGATAACCTTTCTGAAATTCTTTTACCCTGAATGAAAAAAGAATTTCTCAGAGGAGTAGTCAAATTCAACTATAAAAGGGCAAACAACCAGTTACACAGACCTTTGAGTACAGCAGGCAGAAAAATCCCTTAAATTTACCTTTGACAATACTGCCACAGTAAAATATCACAGTATTACTTTAACACGTATGAATTTCAGTGTATTTCCTCATATATCCTTTATTTCCTTTTTATTTCTTCATGTAGTCTTATATTTCATTTTCAAAATATTACACAATTTAGTACAAATTAAGTTTTGCTGACCTGCAAAAGTCATCAGGACATAAGGAGGATACTATCGCTATGGCATTATGAAGGTGTAGGCTATGATCTAGAACATCTTTACCTAGATGTTCCTGCAAAACTGCTCAAGAGTCATCTTTTTAGAAGTCACAGATGACAAGAAAAGATAACATAGAAACAATAAAGCATTGCACAGCTAACATTTCAGACTCTTTGGATATAGTCAAAAGGATATGTTGCACTGATCTATATTTGCTCCATATCTAATAGGTTTTCTCCACCAAAAATTAGAAATCATTCTCTGAGAACACAAGCTTTCATTCTCAACCAGGTTCCACGGCTGAGAATTCAAAGACTATCCGTATTTGGTAACAATCGTTTTAAGGAGCCTTCTATTTTGATAAAGTTATTTATAGTGTTTATTGATAATTTTTTAAAAAGTATTTTCAAATAGAAGTTTGAAATTCCACGCAATTACATACAACTCCAATTGATCACTTCTAAAGCATATTGATGACTACAGGATCCTAGCAAAAGTTTCTTAAAAAAAATTCCTAAACCTGCTGGGATGGTGCAAAGAAAGAAGTCATCAAAAAAGCCACATTTCCTTCCAGAGAGTTCTAACTGGATTCAATATGGGTTATTTTCATTATTATTTTTCCTTTAAAAAAATTATTTTGAAGATCATAATTTTAGCTAAATATCAGGATTTTGGGCAAAAATACTGTGTTCATCAAGTAAGTTGGTACTTGGTCAAAGAAAGTGATAAGCAGTGTAACTAAGAAGTCATCCTTTTACAGCAAAAACTAAGTTTTGGTTTTTTTTTTTTTTTTTGGTTTTGGTGGTTTTTTTTTTTACAGTTATCACATTTTCACAGTAAAAACTAATTAGAATCAGCTGAAAGAAGTCTATGCTGGAGTTCCCCACTATCAACACATTTCTCTCCTTTCCTCAAGACACACAGAACAAAATCCACCATATCTTCTACATTTACATATTATTGGGAAGACTGCAACTTACTAAGTGCTGGATGGCTGTCCACAATCCGTACTGGAATAGTCTGTACATCTCCCAAGAGAATCTGATGGACTCCTCCTTCTAGGCTTCTGGAGTCATCTACCCCTCCAACTGCTACCAGTTGGCCCATGGTGGCCAGACTCTGATCAGAGCCAGGTGGAGTCCCAAAAGCAGAGGCAGCAGTACCGTGCTGTGTTAGGCCAGCACCTGTTTGTAGACTCTGTCCCTGACTAAGGGCCAGAGAATGGTTGGTTACTGCACTCCCTATGGAATCCAGGAGACTTGTAGGGCTGGGAGGGGAATGGTTATTTACAGCTATCAGGGCTGTTGATCCATTTGTGGAGGTAAAAGTTGACTGCAGCTGTAACCCCTGTGAAAGAGAAGGCAGAAGAACTAACATACTAGTATTTACAGCAGGAGGAATTTGCAGTTAATGGCACATATTTTGCAATGCTGGAACTGGATAGCTTCTGACTTCCTATACATCATCTCTTTAGAACAGTCAATCCCAGCAACCCAAGGCTAAAGTTGTACTAGAAAACAATTAGGACAATGGTATCCAGCAGCATCTAGAAGATTACTTAGGAACATAAAGCTCTATTTTGGATTGATATTCAGTTTTAAATTGTTCCCCAATACTGCTCATTCCCACAAGAGGTGGGCACTAAAAGCTAAGCATACTGCTTTACAAAAAAACCCAAACAAACAAAACCCCAAACCAACCAACCAAACACAACAACAACAAAAAACAACAAAAAAGAGTGTGAGGTAGAATCAGGCTGTCTTCACAGAGGCAAAGAGCAACTAGAACAGCATCTTGCTGCAGACTGTATTTCTAGGGAAGAGATCATGCGTTTCACCAGGGTTCAGGGAGTATGAAGGTAGCTTTTCAAAATAGTTAGGGAAGAAAGCTAAGAGAGCCAGCTTTGAAGGGAGATGACCTTTCTAAGAAGCTCTTTTAGCATGACATTCTTAGCCCCACTCTTCAGCTTTTCAACCTGGAATTTTACAGATCTGAGTTGGAAGTAGTTCTAGGATTTTAACATATTTTCTTAAGAGGCTGGAACAGGATTTAAAAGGAATAAATAAGACTGACTTATCTCCCCTCAGTTTTGTGGCATTTTCATTATGAAATGACTGGACCATGTGGAAAATGAATAGGTACCTGGTTTAAGGCAGAAGCCCACTACCTTCATCTTCTTGGTTTTGCCTTCAGAAAAGACCCTAATTTCAAAGCATCAAAAAATGGTAGTGGTGCAGGGGATCCCTGCACCACAGCTATATGTTAAATGTGACATGTAAGAGAGGCCAAGGTAAGAGTTGACAGCTATTTCAAAGTTCGTGTTACCTAGTCAGTGTTTGTGACCATTAGCTGAGAGGGGAACTTGCTGTTCTCAGCTCACCTTCAGCATTCCCAGCACAGAACGTGTGATGTTCCGTAAATGACTTGACTGTACCTGAAGTTGTGCAAATATTTTGGGCTGAAGTGAAGACAACAGCTGAGCTGTTTCTGGTAGCAAGGACTCCCCGCTCTGGTTGAATTCCGCTTTGGTGATGACTGACTCCCCTGCTGAGTTCCCTACAGTGCCACAGAGAGGAAGCAGACAGTTATGACAAACTACTTCTTCCCACTTAAAAGCCTCCCCTGGAAACTGAACAAATCCCTTCAATCTCAATATAGAAATATAAAGGACATGTACATACATATATGCTGTTCTCTTTGCAGAAGAACTTGGATGCTAAAGAAAAAAGGATGGGTATGAGAAAAAGGCAACACTGTAGGAAGACTGTACGTGCCTGTTCAGAGTAAAAAATGAAGCACCAATAAATCCGTTTTGTAGAGCAAAGTAATTGCACCCTATACTGTGCTTTGGGTTTCTAGTTATTACACAAAAGCTGAAACATTTCTATCAAAGCAGCAACCAAATATTGACAATACATACACCTCAGTAACAGACAGCCATCAAAAGAAAAGGTTGTCTTCCAAAATAAAAATCTACATAGGAAATTCTCTAAGTCTCACCACTCCCTTACAAACATCTTTGTGGAATTAGGATAACTTCTATGCAATATCACGCCAAAAGTCCATTTATCTGGAGGTCTTTCAGCCTACAGATTATACCATAACCTCAAAATTCTTATTTAAGGTAAGAATGATGGACTTCATTTCCTGAAGACTTGTAAAAATTGAGATTCACTTGTAGCAATTTCAGCAAACGGTATACAAACAGTAGTTTGAAAAGCCAGTGTTGTTTTCCCTTGCTATGATTTCACACACATTAATGAGAGCTGATTTTTTCAAAGTTAGGCTCTTTTTTTGCTTAGACATGTAATACAATTATAAACATGTGTTTGCAATGTATACAAACACATACCCACATATGTAAGGGGAAACAAAATATGCTGGAATTAGAGTATCTGCTTATATTCACTGAATTCGTGCTCACATGCAGAAAACTAAACAAATCCATTCTCCATCTTCCTTTAAAATTCAGTATGTCACTGGATGGATGTTTACACATTTGATAGGCTACTTTGCCTTAGAAAATTATCTCTGAAAGACAAAGACAGCAAGAATTGGTTGTCCTGAATCTTCTCCAGTATTCAGACAGTTCGTACGTAAAGTCATCCCTGCTGAGCTCTAGCACAGCTATTGAAGGCACAACTATTTTGTGTCTCTCCATAAAAGGGCAGTAACGCAAACATTAACATAGACATGCAAGCTTAAGCACAGTAAGACTGCTCATATTGTAAATTCCTTTTTTTCTAAAAAACAAGACTTCCTAAAAAAAGAGGGACACTATTCAAACTGAGCCTAAAAATTTACCTCTTGTCCTCTGACAGTTGCCAACACTGAAATTCTTACTCTAAGAGCACCAAGCATACATGATGCTTTTCAGTTCAAATTGATGCACTGCAACAACAGCTAAAGTAAGAGTTTAAAAAAATCCCAAACAAAACAAACCTCAACGTTGGCATTTTCATTAACTGCAAAAGCACTGGTGTACACGGAAATGCTCCATGTAAATCAGGTTCATCAAGTCATTCAGGAGAAATCACACAGTGAGCCAAACCCCTTATTACTTGCTACAACAAATGTAAGAAATAGGTCAGGAAGTGAGAGAGGCCAAACGGGAAAGAAACCCAAACACATCAGGACTTCTTCAGGGAAGAGCCACAGTGGAGGACAACCGTCGACATGAGTAAATCTTTAAACCTGACAACTCTGGCAGTGCCCCTTTAAGTTCCTGTGGACTTCTCTATCAGCTGTCTGGAACAAAAAGTACCCACCACCATGTTCCAGTTAAATGGGGAACCAAGCTGGCAGTGCCACTGAGATTAAAAACATCTAAGAAGTCTGCAGTATTATCTTAATGTATGCAAACAATTAAGCTCTTCCACCTTGCTGCAATCATATCCCTGCTAAAAGCCAACAACTTTTCAAATGAGTTTCATATCAAACCTATTAAACAAGGGATGGAGAAAGCATCAACAAACATGCAGAAAAGTTCTTTTGGTGTCACACTAGACAAAATATCCTTGAAATCTGGAGAAAAGGGCAGACTAATCTCATTTTAAATTTGTTATCAGCCACCATGATCTAGCACAGCATCTCAGCTTATGTGTAATCCTAACTATGTGGGTAGCAAGTAGATCTAGTTACAAACACCTGTATTTTGGTTTAGTACATGTTTTGAAGTTGAAATAACAGTAGGAACCCCCTTTCAACAAAGGAAAAATGTAACTAGTGTCTTCAAAAAAACCAGACCTTCGACCATGAATGCATAAAACCAAGTTTTCTGTAGAAATGTACAGTATCTACCCTCTGGTTTTGCAGCAGAGTGGGAAGAAGTTTAATACTTTGTTAGGTGGCTCAGCAATTGCTGGGAAGAGATGCTACTTTGGCATCGTACATTAATAAAGAAGTTACAGCACATAAAGAACTGAAGAAACATAACTCACAGCCCTGCTGCCACTAAACACCTGTGTTACTATTTCTATTCTAAGCATTAAGGAAAAATAGAAAAAAGTGCTCTAAATTCTGACAACAGAAATACAGCATTTACTTTTCAGGGTCTGATCCTAGCAGTGGAACTCATGAAGCCAATGACTTTGTGAAAAGAAGGAATCCCAATATGAATTTAAGTCCTTTTTAGCAAGACGTTTAAGCATGTGTGAAGCACAAACCATCAAGGAACACAAGTACCCAGCTGGCTCCTGGGTACTGCGTGCCCTGACAGACATATCTGTTCAGTAGGAATTTAATTCTTTCTACACAGGTGTTATTAGCACCTTCATCCAAGGTAAAATGTTCTTTCCACATAACCATCCCATTAAAATCTTCAGTTGCTTGAGGATGCTGAAGAAAAGCCAAATTTATAATTCTCGTACTTCTGCCAACCCCATCGCGACTATGCGTTGTTTTCCACACATGCAGTCAAATAGTTAAAAAAAAGTATGCCAAAACAGACACACCAAAATAAACCTTCTTAAGTTCAGCTGAGTGACAGAACATGACAGCAACCTCTCTGGAAGGAAACTGAACTTCTGTGACATAGCTAATAAAACAAATCACATTTGGAGACAGCTAAGTCATTAATGTAGTCCTACCATCTGAAGGTGGTGAGGCAAATGTAACAGTCACTGTTTCTGTGAGAACATTCCCACTGTCTGTGGTCCACTGCAGCTGGAAGGAAAAAGATCTCAGTTATCAGAAAGCACGCAAGTTTGTCTACTACAGAAACACAGGCTCAATATAGGACCCATAGGAAAACAGTGTCTAAAATGACACTTTCCTATTTTCTTATAACTATGCATTTTGGGAGCTCTTGGTTTACAAAAAAACCAAACCAAAACAAAAAATATTTTTTAACATGCACTATACCAGGAAGGCTAAAGTCTGCTCATGACAGTTCAAAGACTAAAATGGAAAATAGTCAAATCACTTGGCTAACTAACAAGTATCACTCACTCATCTGGGCCAAGAGCAGTACAGGGAGAGGGAAAAGACAGATGACACAGCATGATTTAACAGTACAGTCTGTCAAAGCTGATTTTAAATGAGCACTTCCTTAGCAGTCAGCCTCATAACTGGGAAAACTAGGATCACTGTGTATCCCTTATTACTCAATAGGTGGAAGAAAATTCAGGACCAACATATAAGAGTTACTGAGCATTCTGAAGTATCTACTTCAGGCTGACTTCACTTGCTATAAAGTGCATTTATTAATATTTACACGTTCAAAATGTTGTGCAAGCCCTAATTTAGACCACACTTGAGACATACTTCATCCCTGTTTTTCAGATATGGAAAAGTAGTAGTAACCTCTCCAGAACACAGACAATGACAAAGCAATGTACAAAATTTTCTGATGCATGCCAGTTTTTCTGCACCACATGGCTTCCAGTTCATGCAGTCATCATTAAGTACTAGTATTTGTCAATCAACTAACAACAATCTAATGCTGATGAGAGAAATACCAAATAAGGTCAGAAGGTTTTATTCACATTTAATCCAATCTTGCTCAGCCAGAGATTCGACTGAAAATATTGCTTCTGGAAATATAAAGTCATAGAGAATTTTGGATGCAATACAGCTAAGTCATAAAAATTAAAAATAAGATTTCCACTATTTAACTCCAAAAATGAAAAACAAAATCAAAAAGAAACACAAAAGTCAATGTACCGTTGCTGGGATGCTTTCTGAATTATACACTGTCTTGTCATTCCTCAGGGACTTCTGCACTTCATGAATGTGGTTCTTGATGTCATTCACAGTGGGGAAGAAGGACAGGTTATGTCTTTCTGGCACTTCATCAGGCTTGAATAATTCTCTTTCCACATACTTTCTGTCACATGTTAAAGGACATTAAAATATGCACATTTAAAATATATTGTGCTATTTCCCTCTGTTATAGACACTGCTACCTTTTCCCTCCCCTTGTTGCAATGACAAGACAAGAGCAAACTAGATGATCTTCTCACACAGTTCTTTGTGCACCTGCTACAGAGTTTGGAATTAAAAATCCCCATTTATTCAACTAACTTTAAAGATGACAGTAGCTCTTAGTGGCTATCTACAACAAAATGGAAAGAGAAGACAAAAGTTGGGAAAAACAGATTTTCACAACTTAGGGGAAATCGATTCAGTAATGCAACAGCACTGCCATTTAGTTGCAATCCAAATTAATCAATTGCAAAAGTAGACATAGCACTACAGACTGAGAGCATGCCAGACAGTTCTGTACCTTAGTTGCTTCCTCACTGCATAGACCTGCTCTATTCCCTGAGACACCAGTTCTCGGATCTTGTCTGCCACTTGAGGATGAAGCCGGGAAGGCAGAGTACAGTTCTCATCTCTAACAACTTCCTCCTCCTCCTCAGGAGAAGACACAGAAAAATGGGAGGGTGAAGGAGGGAGGCAGGAAGTTTCCATTTCATGATATTGGTGAGCTTGCTGAGTGGGTAACTGTACATACCACCTGGCAAGAAGGAAAGAGTTTCTACACACAATTCTCAAGCAAAACCAAAAAAATTAGTCTCTTGAGGGAACTGTCCGATGATCACAAACAACCTAGTTAGAGTGACTTAAGTTTTTATAGCCCCTAAGCTGGAAGATATTGCCTCTCAGAGCTCAGGGCCCTCTCACACTTTTCAATGCAAAATAAACCAGCTCAACCTCCCAAATACTAGAACTATCTCTATCTACTCCCTGCACGAAAACATCTGCTGAAGTTCCACTGCTTAGTGCTTAATACATTTACTAAATGAATATTCCAGAGCCACAGAAGTCTTACTGACATTATGAGATTTTTTTTTTACTATTAATATTAAGCAAGAGCCTTGATAAAGTGACTAAGTAAAAAATAAAGCAAACCAAGCAAATTATTGCTCATTTTTGCTTCACTTGTCAAGATAAAGAAAAAAGTGGAACTTTCACCTGAGGACACCACCAGCATCTATCAAGTTCTTCTTCAGCATGTTGAATGCCTTCTCCTGCTCCATTCTTATGATTTTCTTGTCAATTTTAGGGTCAGTAGGAACTCTGTATTCCGGAAACTTCTGAACCTTTTTAATATAGATCCTTCCAAGGGGGGTGGGGTTGGGGTGGTGGAATTAAAAAAGGGGGGGGGGGGGGGGAAATAAAAAAAAAAAAAAAAAAAAAAAAAAGAAAATTCTCCTTCAGTACACTTTGTCCTGGGGAGGGAAGGCAAAAACCCCACCTACTTCGTGTCAGATACTAGTACAGAAAAAGTTCAAGTAGAGTGTTGCAGGGGGTGAGGAGCCTCTAGGAGAACTGTAGAATTGTTAAGGACGCATCAACAGAGACAAATGCAGACAGACACACTTCTGTTCGGGCCTGGAAGTCACTAAGCCAGAGGGATTTTGCACCTCAGCAAAAACCCTCCATCCCTCAGTACAGCAAAAGAGTACCACCATTACTGAACAGGCTGTAGTTCACCCAGCTTGAAGCCAGAGTTCAGCACATACATACATAATTGCTACTGTCCAGGTAAACACACTCTTAGCTCAGTAAAAACTGAACAAGCACCCAGGCGGATGCTCAAGGACAAGAGAAAAAAACATTAGCGTTGGATAAAGAGAAAGTCCCCAGTGAACAGGAAGAACTGCAATTCCTTCAGCAAATAGGACATCTGCTAAATTAGGCTGATTGACTGATGTGAGTGCAATTAAAAGCCTGCAGGAAAAACAACAAATAAGATGACAAAGTTTTAGGACCAAAAATGGTCACTAAAGGACAGCACAGTAACTAGCTAATGTTCAGATAAAGAATGATTCTCACTTGTATTTCACACCCTGATGTACCACTACTTTGCATCTGAGCAACTCATCAAATCTCAGTCTTATTCAGTTTAACAGGACAACATTTCCTCCCTCCCTCTATATGAGTATCAACCTGAAGTTATCAAGAAGACAAAGTTAACAGCTACAGTGCGTATTAGCCACCACGCCCAAACAGTGCTCTGTCAAGGCTCACAGAAAGAACACTTTCTTAGTATGCTGAGTTGCTCTTCCAGTTTTGTAGACAATTCTTACCTTGCTGGACAAGTGGCTTTGTACAGACGGCCAGAAGTGCTTTCCTGCTCACCAGCTTTTTTGGGCTGGAACCCTTTCCTCCTTGGCCCATATTGGCACTCCATTACAATGGCTCTGCTTCCTGCAAACAGAAAGTAAGGCACTCTATTTATTCAAGCAACCACTGAAGTTATTACAGTAAAACAGTAACTACAGAAAAGATGAAAGTTCCAAACCAGTTATTTCTGTTTACCATCAGACTCTTCAGAAGACAGAACACTTTAGTGTAGCAAGCATTCAAATACAGCGCAAATGCTTCTCCCACAGAATGCATTTTCAAAGTATTTCCCAAACTTCCTACACCTCACAACACTCCTGGAACATATATGAAGGCAAAATATTGGATTCTGCCCTGGTGAACACCAATACTTTACAAAATGAGCAGCCTTGCAAGTTGACAAAGGAGCACAATACTGGTAATAAACATAAGAGAAGCAGAATCCCCAAAATAACCGAGAAAATCCACAGCTCAAATCAAAGGTGTGCTGCTTTTGGCTAGGATAGAGTTAATTTTCTTCATAGTAGCTGGTAAGGGGCTATGTTTTGGATTTGTGCTAGAAACAGCATCGATAACACAGGGATGTTTTAATTATTGCTGAGCAGGGTTTACACACAGTCAAGGCCTTTTCTGCTTCTCAGACTGCCCTGCCAGCGAGTGGGCTGGGGGTGCCCAAGCAGTTGGGAGGGGGCATAGCCAGGACAGTTGACGCCAACTGACCCAAGGGATATTCCATACCATATGACGTCATGGTCAGCATATAAAGCTGGGGGAAGGAGGAGGAAGGGGGGACATTCAGAGTGATGGCATTTGTCTTCCCAAGTAACTGTTACACATGATGGAGCCCTGCTTTCCCAGAGATGGCTGAACATCTGCCTGCCCATGGGAAGTGGTGAATGAATTCCTTGTTTTGCTTCACTTGCACACGCAGTTTTTGCTTTACCTATTAAACTGTCTTCATCTCAGTCCACGAGTTTTCTCACTTTTACCCTTCCAATTCTCTCCCCCATCCCATCAGGGGGGAGTGAGCGAGTGGTTGTGTGGGGCTCAGCTGTCAGCTGGGGTTAAACCATAACAAAAGGTCAGCACCTATTTCCAGCCTCCTGTCTTAAACCAATACTTCAGACCATGCTGTTCCATAAATTCTTAATTGCAAGTCTGATCTATCTTATCTGCTAAATAACACTGTTTCAGTGTGGCATACCCACACAAAACCAAGCAGTCTTAAATATTTCTTAGCTCTGAACTTTAAGTAAGTGACTTCCAGTCAGACCTCTAACAAAAAGGGTAACAGGCATAGCATTGAAGTAGTCAAGAAAGGAACTTCTTCCAAATTTCTTCCACATCATGTTTAGTTCTCTTTTATTTATAATTCATACACTCTAGTACGCAGGCAAGGAACCGCCTATACCACAAATAATATAACCAAAACCTTTTTAAGTATCACAACAGCAACATAACGTGTTTCCATAAGATACCCAATGATTTATTGCCTTAGAGTGTGACACTTAAAAAAAAAAAAAGAAAAAAATCAATGCAAATCAAGAAGTAGGAATTTTAAAAGAGAATTATGTATAACCAACAGATCTCTTGATTCTTTTTTAAAAACAAACTTTAAATTGAAGCTCTAGGATTGAAAAGACTTCAACAGCTTTAAATTAGTCCTTGCTAATATGAATCTCAAAAGCAATTTGATGGGACCCTTGTTTTATAAAAGTATCAACAATCCAAAATTCTTATTAAAAATAACAATCAAGATTTTGATGATTAGTGCATGTTTTACACTATAGGGAGCTATTCAGCTTCTCTATAATTCCCCACAGCTGAAGAACAGCAGGGAAGGTATTGCAGATTGGTTCCACTTATGCAGAAGGGATAAATTCCTCAAGAATGCCACTTTTGTCCTGCACAGTTTAGAATTCAGTTATCTGGGTTTTAAACTGCAGTTCAGAAATCGTATTTACAGCTCCTGCTCTACAAATGTAAAGGATTTTAATGAATGCTTTTCATAGAGGAGTTATAAACTAAACGTATTGGAAAGGCAACATGTTAGAAACACACATAATACCTGTTTGGGGGTCTGAGCAAAGCAAAAAATATTACAATTTAATAATCGGAGTCTCTATTAGTCTACCACACTTTAAAGGAAAAAACCAAACATCTATGTGTGATTTTGCTCTAAATATCTTACTGTGGGGCAACTCATTTACCAGGCAGATCTGACAGGAAACTAAAGATGTCTTTCATATGCATTTTGGGGAAACAATAAAAGTGTAAGTTGTTTTGGCTCTGTTCTTAGCTTCCTTATACCTCACAGTTTATGGCTGAACCTTTAAAACTGAAACTAACATTTCACTTTTTCAGTTACTTTCAGGAAAAAAAGCAAAAAACCCAAGCACATAATCTACATTCCAGTCACTCATGATCTCTATGTAACAATTAAAACGTGTTCATTTCATATCCAAATGAACTCTTAGTAATTTCACATGTGCATTGCACGAGCTAAGTATGTAATTACCAATCTGTGAAGTCCACATATTCATTTAAAAAATAAATAAATAAAATCTGTCTGCTGAGGTATGTTGATGTTTATTTTGGTTTTTTAAATTTATTTTATTTTTTTAAAGGGTTCCATTTAAATAGTTTATTGGCTCCTGTGGAACAAACTCTTCAAAGACTCTCCCAACTAGGCAGGAATGATCGAA